TATCATACTGGTCAGTGGTCACTGTGGTCTGTGGCAAAACTATACAATTTGTATACGTTCATTTGCTGCATGTATGACCTATACCAGTAATAACTCCTAAGCTTTTTGCAAACCTGCGAGAAAGTTGTATAATAATTCTCATCAGAAAATAGATAGTCTCTCTTGCAGGCCGGAAGCAGTGCAACAAGTGCTGTGGCAAAGCAAAGTTATTGGCATTGATGGTAGGAGGTTCAGTTTTCCATAATAAATAATTTCTACCGGTTACTATTGCAGGCAGTCTGGGCAGACAAGCAAGACAACTAGACATTAGAAGTGCTGCAAAAACATAAGCTGCATGGAATCCAGTGATGCCAATGGTAGAATGAACTGCACAATGCCACAATCTGGCTGAAAGATTAAAAATGTTTTTAAAAAATTTAAGAAGGCAGACTAGTGAGACAACTTGACAATAACATGGATGACACTAGGAGTGCTGTAAAAAGGTCAGCTGCCTTGAGTTCTTTGATGCCCATAATAGAATCAGGAATCTTCTTCTGAGTCTACTATAATGCATAGTTGGTATATTTGCAATCTTACTGAGTTTTGCAGTTTCCTTAACAACTATCTGTACCAGTTACTTCTCTTGGAGATGATTCATTTATAATCTATTGGAAATCTTGTAGGACATAGAGGTAAGTCAATGTTTCAAAAGTTATAATTTCAATCAGAACAATCCTATTTTATATTCATGGCTCAGAATTGATATTTGTCCCATTCTTGCCTACTTAGAATTTACCATTTTGTTGCAGGATAGGTATTAAAGTGACCTAATAAATTTTTCAACTCAAAGAATGCTTTGATCAATTTTTGAAATTTGCATCTCTATCCTGCACTTTTGTTAACAAGTAGAAAATAATTTTTCCAGCAGGAATCTATTGACTTCTAAAATGCAGTAAAAGCTCTAATCACGGCTTGGAAAATGAATATCTTCCATGTATGATGCAGGGTGGAATAATATGAATTGTGGTTTATATATTCAAGGTAAACCCAGCCATGTATCTCAAGTTCTCAAAAATCTCCAGAGATTAAAATTAAAGTCAAGTCCCAAGGTTTCTTATCCAGTATGGAATGTACATTTGTTCATATCCAATTACCCATCCTTGTTATACCAATCTCACATGAAGCACTCATTCTCCCTCCTCTCATTCTTCCCTAATGAACAACTGCGTCAAGTGCTCCTGCTTTCCCATTAAATAATCTGTCTCCATATAGTATGTGCTACTATCATGCATACCTCAGTAATCTGGAGTGTATCTGTTTTTCTATTTCATGCTTCCACACATTGATCTATTCTGTCCAATAATCTTCATCAATTTGTTGCAAGCATTTACAGGTATCATGGTAGTAATAAGGTTGTGTTATTCATTAATAGCAACAATTTAATGACTGCTCCATCTGGCTGTTAATATTACCAGACTTGTCTTTTCCCTAATTTTCTCTCCTCATAAGCCACTTTCAATATCAGACCCAAAAGCTGTTACTACTGCCAACAAACCCACTGTTTTTGCAGTCATTCATTTCCTATTCTCCCTTGAACATTGCCATTTCACTTATCTCTCTCATCCAGCATTGGTTTTAATATTTCAAGCCATATCACTCCTAAGTATTATGCTTCAACATTAGGTGTTTCACAGTTAGCCCACCCCTGCAATATTGTATGACATTTTCCCATATGCTCAGTCTAACATTTCATGACTATGTCATGACTATGTATGTTAATCTTCATGATTATGTATGTTAATCTTGCAATTAACATCTATTTCACATTGTGCTTTCCAGTCTTAATTTGGATTCCAGTTCTGATCCCATTCTTCTCTTACTGAACAAAAGTTTTCCTATTTTGCCTTGTCAGCATTCCAGTTCCTGTGGGTGCTTCTAGTGTCAATCATTTCACCTTATTCTGCATATACCATCTTCAGTAATATAGCACTGATGCATGCAATTGCATGTAGTCTATACCTAACACTAGTAATTAAAATGCATACTGTTTTCTATACCTTGTACCTACTGCTTGCTCCTACTGCAATTGCAAGTGTACTGAACTACTGGATTGCCTCATCAAAAATAATAGCATTTATTCTAATGCTCACAGTTCCTATCAATAGCCACACGCAACTGCATCCTTAGCTGTTCCATTAACATCTAGTACTTGGCTTTTGTTGTGCTAAAACATGGATATTGTAGTTCCTGCCATATATAGTTTTGTGCAATATTATCCAATTTAAAGATTGATAAAAATTGTCAGGAGAATAATCAGTAACTTTTCCAAACTAGGTTGTAGCAGACAAATGGTCATTTGTCATCAGGTAATGAAAGCCAGAATTGACTCCAGATCAAATGGAAGAAAAGACCGCTAATCCTAGGGAAGTAAAGAAGTAAACATTGAACACTTGACAGTAAAATTTTGACTCTCCATTAATGTTTATTAGGCCATAGGCCTGTTGCTGATTCTTAACATTGCAGAACATCCACAGCTTGTTGCGGTCTCAAACTGACAACACACTGATTCAAATTCTGCTGTGCTAAACCACTTGGCCTCCTTGCCAATTCTGACCAAAAACTGGCACACAGAGCTGGGATCGAACCTGCGCCAATCTTAGTACTCTGAACCTTAACCACTGGGCCACCCTGCCCTAATCATCCACCCTGCCACCCTGCCCTAAATATCATCCACCGTGACTTTTGTACATTATTCAAAGATTATATTTTTTTTGTCTTGAATATTGATTGTGACCTTCTAGGTATATATTTGATTATTTCCTGACATTGGATTAACAGATTTTAGTGGGAAAAATGAGGTTATGTCTATGGAATATAAATTGAATAGTTTATTGACATACAATAGCTTCATAAATAAATCCTGATAAGATATGACTTTATGTAAAATGAGAAGTGGAAGCCTATTTACATGAAATAAAGATCACAACTGTCTGCAATGCCTTCCAAATACAGTTTATATATATATTTATACCATAATAAATTTAATATATACCCCTTTATACTTGTAAGTTGTCAATTATTATGAAGAAAGAAGCAGATATGCCTGATATCTTCTACTCTTACATGAGTTAAAGTGGGATTTGTGGAGTGCAGGAGGTTGTGAGGGCAAGTGTGATCAGGAAGCCCCTTGGTCCTGGCAACTTGGCCTATGATGCTTACAATAATTCCTTGTTTAAATCCAAGATTATTACTGTCAAGTTATCATGATACTTGCTGTGGCTCAGTTCATGATCAGAAATGTTTTGTATTCTCCCTTAACGTAGAGCAATATTCTTAATTTTATTATTGATGAGAAGTTTATCACAATCTGCTATGCATTAGTCAAAGTTTATGTGTTGGAAGCCATGCACCACAAATATATAGGGGCTGGTAGTATGCATGTCCACAACACTGTGAATGTGGAGGTGTATATAACTGTTGTGTGGAGGTGTAATCTGCACCCAAAAATTTGTTCACATTTGCAGAATGATGTGGCTTTTTGGGATGAAAGGATTGGATGGGAAATGGTTTCATTTAGAATTTATATTTATAAATAAAATTTTAAAAATACTATTTTTGAATTTTCATATTTTGAAACAAGAGTCAGATGGGAGCTCTATGTTATGGTATATGAATGTAAAATGTGAGTTTGAACATGCCATTCTTCAAATACCTAGCATTCTTATTTATATTTATATTAATATATAAATATGAACACAATACCCATATATATGATATACCTATATATCTATATATATGTATCATATATATGATATGTGAAATATATATTATTTCTGTTTGCAGAAATACAAGATTCCTAAATGATTTGATGTCCTAGTGAGGAAATAATTAGGTTTTGAATTATTGTTATTCAATAACATCAGAAAATAACTCATTTTAATGAAATTTATATTTGTTTTACTTGTGCTCACAAAACTCTCTCATTTCAGGTTGACGAGGCATATACTTTATTGTGGTTTACATTCAATTACTGATTAAATATATCAAGGCTATATATCATTCCGCAAGCATCAGATTGTTTAGACAGTCCTTGTTGTCCTAATACTGAGCTGAAAACTTCTCTGCATCAAGTTTCCTTCACAACTCGCACTAACAATGGCAAGAGTAAGTTTGCTAAATCTTAACCACATTTCATTGTGATGAGAATCATTTTTCCTTTACTATGTCATGTGTGCCAGAATATTAGTACCTATGAGAACATGACTGGAAGCCATAGGTTCATTCAGTAACAGAATGGACTCAGCACTGAGCTCCATCAAAATCTGGGACTTGCAAGGCATTAGGAAGATGACTGATCTGGCCACCTTTAATGTTGGTGTTGTGTCAGGGCCACACTTGGTGAAAGCCAGCAAATTTCCTTGGGGTGGGCAAGGATTCTGTTGATATTTATCTTATTATGTACTTCTTAATTTTAGTAAATTACTTCCAAACGTATAAATAATTATCTCCTTGCTGTTTTTTTATTTGCAATTCTGCACACCTCATTTATCATTATTGTTTTTCCTACATAACTGGTTGCATTATTGATCAATGAGCTACCACTTCTTCCTCAAAAACATCAGAATATCAGTTTAGGACTGTTAATTGGAATGTAATGCTACATAGATAATTCTACCCTGCTCACTTCTCTTGTTGTACTATCTACTTTACTTGGTGGCTTTTGAGATCAATCTCAAGCTTGGTTCTGCATTCATGAATCTGCTCAAGCTCTTGGGTATAGCAGCATATGGCACCTTGAAATATTGAGCCAACTATTGAATTCATCTTCAAAATGTTGTCAGGGTTCTTTGTATTTTATAAGGCACTTGACTGCCTCTACCCAGCCTACTTAACACCTGTACAAATTTTCAACAGAGTCTTGTGGCACTGAACATTGAGCTCGGGCACACTGCCCGGGTGCTGCAGCATGTAACTAAAGAGGGCTTCACCCACGAGTGGAGTGTGTGGGTCAGGGGGGAGAATGATCGCAGCCTTGCTGATGTTGTAGAGAAGGTTGTCTTCACGCTGCATGACAGCTTCAAGAGGCCCAAGAGAAGTGAGTTCTTGTCTTTCATTTGCAATGCATTTTATTTCCCTGCTGTACAAACCTGTGCCAATAGTGCCATTTGGAAGAGATTGCTTATTTTTCCTACATTATGTTTGGAATAAAATTCATACATGAGCTATAAGGACACAGATGAATCTACTTGTGATGATGTAGAGGCTTTTTTCATCTGTGTGGAACCATTTGTTCCTAGCAAAGAATATAGTTCACAATAAATGCAAAATAAGAATTTTACTTTCTTTTATGTATCCACTTGACATTTTGATAAAAAATTATACTTTTATTTAAAACTTTCCTAGAGTTTAGTTTCTCTTGCGCTCTGATAATAAGCACAACATTAGAATTAAAATGTCTTACAATTTCTCCAACTGAAAGGTTGATAGCATCAGATGCTGCATTTTGTTTAGCATTGAGCATTTTTAGGGTGTAAAAACTTGACATACGGTACCTAGTATATATAGATGGCATCCACTATTAGAAGTTCCTGTGCAATACTGCTATGATAATTTGACCATGGACCATTCATCAGTCTATAACTTGTCTGTATCTGTGGATCCAGCTATGCACTTTGATCCAATTTCATAGCCGGCAGTGTTTAAAATAGTTTTCTGAAACCAACAGCTTCTGTCTTGATACCTTCAATTGCATTATCCGTTTCTTGTTCACTTGCCGTGTGCATGCTGTCTAATTGTATTTTTGTTTGCCCTTCCAGTCCTCAAGACGCCTCCTTTCATGATCACTGAGAAGGGGTACGGGGGATTCTTTTTACCTGTTGAAGTTTTCCTGCAGAACAACAAACAAATGAGGTACTTTGATTATTTCCAGTCGAAAATTTATGAAATGCTCATTTCATACCATCATTCTACTTAACAGATATCTTACAAAATGATATAGCATTAAGATTTTACTGAACTATTCACATAAATCAATAAGTAGAAGTAAGCAGGGTGTAATAGTTGCCTGTGTGTAAAACGTGCTTATATCTTAAGCATTACTTGTGTTACCTGAATGTTTGTTGGCGCCTTTAAAGCATGCCTCCAATGTACAGGTTTGAGTATGACCTGTCCCTGCAAGACCTCCATGAACCCCCAATCACCCTCACCCGATGCGAACGCCTCACGTTCTACAACCCCCAAGAGGAGCTAAAGAGGAAGCTCCTGGCAGCAGGAGGCGTAAGCCTCACTCCCTACGCTAGAGTAGCGCCTCTAATTGTCCCTGGTGCAGCGTCCAGACAACGAGCGGCGGTGAGTGGTTATGGTGGTGCAGGTGATTGTAGGGTGCAGGTGGTGGCAACCTTGTGATAGGTGGTTATTATCAATGTGAAGAGATGCATGGTCGCGGTGGTTGACAATGTTGTAGGGTGCAGGTGGTGGCAACACTGTGATTGGCGGTTATTATCAATGTGAAGAGATGCATGGTCGCGGTGGTTGACAATGTTGCAGGGAATGTTGGAGAATTTCACTGAGCGCAAAGATTATGTATCATGAGGGACGTTAAGGTAACGCCGTCCTTTGATGTCCTCCATCCTTTAGCTTGTCTGCGGGCTCATATAGAGTGAAGTGTTATTCAGTCTGTTATTGGTTACCTTGTGTCTTTCCTTCTTTCTACTTGGACCATTTAATCCATTAACAATGTATATAACTAGTACCTGGTCTTGTAGCTTAAATGTTCTCTGGTTCAGGTTCCTTTTCTTTTATCCTTTGACACACGTGGTAATTTCGTAAGTCAAGTTCTTAGAACTAGCAATTTTTTATTCTTAACTTGGCGGTGCTTCATTTGTTATCGAATAGTAGCTATGATTGAATTTCACAGGATATAAATTTGACAGAAGACTAAAAGTTAGGACACCGAAGATTTCAGAAGACGGAAGATTAGACAGACGACTAAAAGTTAGGACTTTTCAGAAACTAGTATCCAAATCTTCATTGACTATTTGGCCTTTGTTCGGAAATGATGTATTGCTGTCTTGTTGTATAGCGTATTAGTACTTCCTGGCCGTTTGCTCGTGTCTATTTCTTGAGCATCTCGCCCATAGCAATTAACTGCAATTAAACTGACTGAATGAGACTTTTTATATGTACAACCCTACCTTGATAATGCGCCTCAGTTCAGTTGATCTTATAATGGCGATGTATCGTTGATTGTTTCCATTTGTCTATATGATAATTTGCTACCCTCATAGCCGTCACGCATATGTGCTGACATTTTTCCCCATTAACAGTACGAAGCAACGAGCCAGAAGCGTCCGTCACTGTTATAGTTAGGACTTAGCAGAAACTAGTATCCTTATCTTCATTGACGATTTGTCCTTTGTTCTGAAGATATTGTATTGCAGTCGTGTTGTGTAGCGTATTTGTACTTCCTGGCCGTTTGCTCGTGTCTATTTCTTGAGCATCTCGCCCATAGCAATTAACTGCAATTAAACTGACGGAATGAGATTTTTTATATGTACAACCCTTGATGTTGTGCCTCTGTTCAGTTGATCTTAATTGATGGCGATGTATCGTTGATTGTTATCATTTGTGTATATGATAATTTGCTACCCTCATAGCCGCCACGCATATGTGCTGACATTTTTCTCCATTAACAGGACGAAGCAACGAGCCAGAAGCGTCCGTCACTGCCGATCCCGGCTCCCCTCACCGCCCCTCCTAACAAGACATCCGAGCGCAAGAAGGCCAAGAACGAGTCCAGTTCGAGCACAACTGCCGAAAAGGTAGGTGTCCAAGCCAGTTAAGTTTGTATGGTAGCGCAAGAAGCCGTAGCTGCTAACTAGGTGTCAATAGGGGCATATCTGCTGTACTATGACGGCATTAGCCGCACCTCTGAGCTCAGGACGTTAGGCCTTCAGCAACAAACTGTACGGAGGAAATATCTCATGCGATAGGCACCGCTACTGTACCTGCCCGTTACTTGCTGGCAGTTCGCCCTCCAGAATAATTGCATTATTGTGCATCTCCATTCTGTGAAACGGTCACAGCCTTTGATCACTGCTAATATCGTGAAATTATTAAATCAGTGATTTGCTTCCTCTCGTCAGTTAATTAAGCGATGATAGAAATCAAGAAGAGTAGCTGTTGCCGGCGCCAATAATACGACTGGTGCCAATAAACTAGCACCATGTATGAACGAAGTGTTAGAGCCCATTGCCTCAAGAAGATTCGTTGTTGCCTGCTATTATTATTCAACGGAAGTCTGAGCTGTCTCTTCTAAGACTGGCAGGACAGCCAGTGTCAGCGGCTCAGCGCTGTCTGCATCGCCACTTGAAGTTTTGTGCAGGCTTCGTTCCATCAAGACGAGCTCCTCATATTTATGAAATTAGCCATCGTGACGACGACGCTGAAGAGCTCACAAGTTCCCAGCCTGGCCTGCAGAACCACAACTTGCTTCACTTGGCGGCTGACCTAAGCGACCCAGGCGAGCGTGCTTGTCATTTTTTCGACTGTTGTTGATAGATTACTGTTATGTTATCGACTAAGTCCGCTGTGAACTAGAACTCTTTCACGCTTCGCTTTGTACCGACAATTACTCCTAATATAAATATGGGCCTTCGTCGCTAGCATGGGGCTAATGGGTATTTCTCGCATTTCAAGTTTGATGTGGTCTTGTTTCGATTTTCATGTTACGTTTCACAAAATTTTGTTCGTGTCAAGTGTGATCGCATATACATTCCTCTGGCCTGACATTTGAAGCTTGATTATACCTACTACTATTTCTACGTCCTCAAGCAGCAAATAATTAGCTCTGTTAATCCTGCATGCATTTTGGAATTGGGAAGCAGTGCCATATGTCCGCTAGCGCTTGAACGGAGCAATTAATCCACGAGTTCATGTCTCAAGTGACTTTCTTTGTGGTGAATACGCTAGCTTTAACTGTTCTTTCGTTAATTCCATTGTTGTTTGCCTCCTTCAATTTCCTTGCATTCCTTGAACGATTTTCATGCGAGTGATGATAGCCCTCCGGACAGGGTAATCCTGATACATCATCAAATCTTGAACACTTCTCCATTCAGCGATTTGCCTTTCATAAAACTTTCTGCGCATAATTTCATACTTCCTCATCAGTTACCTGTCACGTTTAACAATGATCCTGGGCTGGCGTCTTACCTGCAATTAACTAACGCTTATCTTGAAGGCGTCACTGATAATCTGCTTGCAAGTTTCCAATGCAGCAAAGCATGTCCCGCTTACGCTAATCCCTGTTCACCCGCGGCTCTCACACATCCATGTTATGAATGACTAACATTACGTGTGAATGATGCCTTGGAGCACACAGTTTGAAACTAAACCTGACTATGCATTGAAATCTTGAGCTCAACGAAATACCCACTGGAGAATCTATATAGCGACTTAACCTTCTCGTATTGATAGACCCTTGGGTGTTACTTGCCTGTTGGACTATCCGAAGCTCCTATTTTGCACGTTCTGTTATGCATGTGTGATGCGAAAACCTGCACTTGTTCAATGTTCTGTGATCATGTCGTTAGGTTATCATTGCATCGCACGGCACTGACGCTATGATGTATTTACAGCACAATCGGCTCATCTATTGTCTTTAGTTTCATTCTTGCTTTGTAGGCGCTGCTTGTATCCTATCCCCCGTCACTTTGGTTGATGTGATGATTTTGCGTGCATTCCAGCGTTAGTGTTTTCTTTAGAAGCTCCTGTGTTCATGCCCTACGACATGATGTGATGTGTGTGCTCTTATTTCACATGTTCATTATCACGTCCATGTTCACATTCCAGGTAGATTTATACTTTCTTTTCATTTCACCAGGATCAGAAAGTGACGGATGCTTTCACCGAGCTTTTTGGTGAGCCCCTGAAGCTGTACCGACACCAGACGAGTGCCGTCAAGTCCAAGGTTCCCGTCACCCAAGCTGTCAGTTTCTCCCTTGCTGCCTCCAACACGTCTCTGGGCGTGTCTGATCCACAAGTAGAGGACGGTTGTTCTTTCAAATCTCGTGATGAAGAATTCAAAAAGATTCAGAATACTGACAAAATAAGGACATTGAAAGATATCTTCAATCATCTTTTCGGGGAAGATAGCGACGCAGAAGGTGAAAAGTCTGAAAGGTCTTGGAATGATGTCAATGTGTCTCCAGCTGCCGCCAACACGTCTCTTGTTCCCTGCAAATATGAACCTACTGTTAAGGTCGACCGTTCTTCAAAATCCCATGATGAAGAACGAACCCTATCCCGCGACCCGAAGAAAAGAAAATTGGCAGGTATCATGCAGGACCTATTTGGCGAGGACAGCGATGAAGAAGAAGTAAGGTCGAAATATCCTAGGAAAGATGACAGCAAAACCTCTGAAAAGCTTAATAAGCGTGCCAAGAATTACGCGCGTAAAAAACCCCGCCGATCCGTAGCATCTTCATCGAGGCGACTGGCATCGCCAACAAAACAAGAAGTTTTGCGTGCGGTCTTCGCCAGAAAAACATATTACTCATCGACCTCACAGACGTTTAATTTGTCCGTGGCACCTGCATGCGCCCTACCCTCTGTTCCGTCATCCACTCCAGCGCGCGTCTCCATTCCTTCTCCCGCACCAAATGTGTCCCCGGCGCAAGTTGCTGCTCAGAAGGAATTTTCGGCGGTCGTGGCTCTTCCTCCCATTCCTGCCTCTGTTCCTGCCAACTGCTCAAGCTCGAACTATTCAAGTTCTTCTTCTTCGTCCAGCTCCTCCAGCTCGTCTTCCTCGTACTCCTCCTGCTCATCTTCCTCCTCATCCTCATCTAGCTCGTCTAGTTCTACTGACAGTCCTTCAGGTCGTTTAGTTTGCCCGATAACCGAAACAAGGATCACATCCGATGTGGACGAGATGAAGGACACGGACCTCAGCGATGACGATAGCTGGGACAGTGAGGAAGAACGACTTTTTGAAGAGGGTAAGGCCTACGTCGCATGCACCACAATGCCGAATGGCGAAGTACTTTATCCTGACCACCCTAACTGGCACTGGAATAGAGGTCGTGTATTTTACTTACGCAAATGCCAGCCACCCCTGAAGAGGCTGCCTTTCGACGTGTATGTTGGGGCGCTGCGAGCGCGTCAATCGGGCGCATTGGGCAAGGAGGCGCTGAGCCGCGTCCATGACTGCCTCTTGGCCTGCGGAGTGAGCGCGGCGTCGAGTCACCAGGGCGCCGTGGTGAGCTGGTCACGAGTGCCTCGACCTATAC